ATGGGGCAGATTTTCCGTCTTGGGGCACTCTTAGGAGGTGTCGGGAGGGTATGTTGGAGGCTTTTGGGGCCGTCCGAGGAGCATATTGAGCGTCTTGGAGCGATGTTTCGGCCACTCAGAGCCCTCTTGGGCCGTCTGGGCGGCCGCTGGGTTTTTATGGGCCCGCGTTCGGGCTCTCCGGGGCGAGGGGCCGACCCAGAGCGAGCTGGAGTTCCGATTTTGCTGCCAAAATTGACTCAGAACCCCCCCCCGCACCCTGGCAGAGCCCCCCCGGGCCCCCCCCCCCGAGCAGAGCTGAAGCTCAAGAACTGAGGCTCGAGCCATATCTGAGGGCCTTTGAATTTCACGCGCCGGATCGGCGGATTTGTGTATCCTTGGGCCCCTTGAGCGATGCGTTCTGCATCCGCCGTCGGGCGCTCGTCCTCGATATGTTGGCCCCGCCAGCGCCGCTGCCCCCCCCCCCCGCAGCCCCCGGGCCACTCGCGGAGCAGCTGCTCGCAAATGGCTGCGCCGACGGGGATGCACGATCCATCACATGGAGGAGGGCATGTGCTTTCCGGACCTTTTCTGCCACAAGCTAAACTTTTCCACAAGTGAAACTTCCCCTCCCCGCAGCCCCCGGGCGGCGCATCCCGAGCCCCCCCCCCCTGCACCGCGGCCCTTCCCGGCACACTCTGCGCTCCGCACGCGGGGGAAAGGGTGCGGGAGAGGGGGCCCGTGCCGACCCAAGAGTCAGCGGCGAACCCAGGGGGACAGCGCAACGGTACGGGCGTTCCGAGAAGGCGGCAGGGCTTCACAGAAGCAACCTCGCCTTCACAGGAGCCTCGTAGGCCGGTTCCGAGGCCGCAGGCGGCTTCTCACAGAGGGCGCGAGGGCTCTTGAGAAGCTCCGCCGCCTTCTGGGAAGAAGGCCGGCCCTCTCTCTCCACCTCTCTTTCTCCTTTTTCCCCTGGGCTCGCCACCGAAAGAAGAGGCCCCCGCGCGGGCTTCCGAGATTTTGTGCTCACGAGGCTGGCTGGTATTCTTTTCAGGGCGAGCAGCACAGCAGCATCCGCGCACTCCGTCTCGCTTCGTCTGCGCCCTTTCGCACGGCATCTGCTGCTGGGCATGGCGGGGCGTTTTCGGAGGTTTGCGGCGCTGCTTGGATATTCTGGGCCGCTTTCGGCTGTGGCCCACAGGTTTTGGGAGGCTTTCCGTGGCTCCCCCGGGGTTGGGGGGGCTCCCGAGGCCCTCAGAGGCTTTCGGAGGAGGAAGGGGGACGGGGAGGCCTCATTGTCATCCTCCTTGCATTCCTCCTCCTCCTCCTCCTCCTCCTCCTCCTCCTCCTCCTCCTCCTCCCTCCTCCTCCTCCTCCTCCTCCTCCTCCTCCTCCTCCTCCTCCTCCTCCTCCTCCTCCTCCTCCCTCCTCCTCCTCCTCCTCCTCCTCCTCCTCCTCCTCCTCCTCCTCCTCCCTCTCTCTCTATTTCTCTCTTTCTCTCTTTCCCCCCTTTCTCTCGCTCGCTCTTCTTCCTGGCCCCCTCTGCAGCCGCCCTCTTTCGTGGCCGAGGCTCGCCGTGGCCAGGACGGTCCTTTGACTACAGATCGAGAGCCCCTGCTTGTGGCACGATGACTGCACTGCTCCACGCATCCTGCTCCGTGCTCATTGTCATCCTCCTTGCATTTCTCCTCCTCCTCCTCCTCCTCCCCCTCCTCCTCCTCCTCCTCCTCCTCCTCCTCCTCCTCCTCCTCCTCCTCCTCCTCTCATGCATCCCCTGCCTGCTTTCTCGAGCCGCCCCTGGGTGCCCGTGCTGAATCGGGACGGGTGCCCAGAGCCCCTCGCATTCTCCATCCGTCGGCCTGTCCGGAAGGGAAGGGGAGGAGGGCGAGGCTCGGGGGGGGAGCACCTGGTGGCGTGGTGGATGGGGAGGAGCATCGGCAGGTGGAGGACGTGACGGAGGACGAGAGGAAGGGTTTGAGGAGTTGGGTGAGGACGAGGAGGAGGAGGAGGAGGAGGAGGAGTAGGAGGAGGAGGACGTGATGGAGGAGGAGGAGGAGGAGGAGGAGGACGACGAGGAGGAGGAGGAGGAGGAGGAGGAGGAGGAGAAGGGACATCAGTAGCAGCGGATGGGTAGCAGGAGCTGGGATCGCTGAGGGGGAATCATGGTGCCGAAGGTGATGCGTCGAGTGATAGCCAGGATCCCGAGGGGGAGGAGAAGCGGAAGGAGGAGCAGGATGAGCGGCAGCAACAGGAGGGAGTCGAAGGAGAGGGAGATGGAGTCGGATGAGAAGAAGAGGGAGGAGTACGCGCGGGTCGTTGAAAGTAAGTATTTTGCGACTCCGAGATGCCAATATTTTTTAGCCGCCGTCCTACTTCAAGAGTCGAGCGGCTTTCCCTCTTCCCTCCTCTTCAGGGGGCGGGCGGATGCCCAACCTGTTGCCAATGCCTTCTATTTCACGGTGCTATATGTTTCTTCCGACCGACGGTTAAGGATGAGGCGGAGGCAGAGGAGGAGCAAGATGAGGAGGAGGTTGGTCAGTAGCCAGAAGGGTTGGGCGGATGAGGGGGTGCGAGAGGGAGGAGGAGGAGGAGGTGGAGGGAGGGCGAGGGCGGGAGCGAAGAGAGGGCGGGGGAAGAGGGGAAGGATGTGGACGGGCAGCGGAGAGAAATGACATTGGAAAGCCTTGCCGGATTTGTGGTCGGGTCGGAATCCCCCTACCTCGAGGTGGGGCAATGGCTGGGATGATTGGTACGGCTATGCCGCGATGATGGCGGCCATGAAGGGCAAGGGCAAGGGCAAGGGCAAGGCCTGGGGGTGGGGCGCCGAATGGCCAGGCAGCCTCGAGGGGGCGAACAAAAGGAGCTGCGCCTCGCACCTCGCGGCCTGGGCCGCGGAGCCGTCCCCTCTCCACAGGGTGGGGTCGTGAGGGTGCGACTCTTTGGCCGCGCGCCGCGCAGCGCGCAGAGGTTGGGGCGACCAGGAGGGTCCACGCGCACGGATCCTGGCCAGGACAGTCTTGGGGCCCGCGGTGGGAGCGCCGTCGGGTGTGGTCCGTACAGGCCGACCCTGCCAGAAGCGTCGGGGGCTCCCACGTGCCCTGCCCATCGCTCAGGGGCGGCTTGACCGACCCCATAGCAATTTGGGCCTCCAAGATGGGGTCCGAGTAGATGGGGTCGGAGGATCGCGCCGCATCGCAGATTCATCGGCGATGCGGCTCGATGTGGAGCCGGAGTTTCTCCACGTCGACGGCGCCGATACATCGCCGACGTCGCTGGTGCACTGCCGATTCATCGCCAGTGCGTTGCCGATGCATCGGCAATGCCACGCGCGATCTTCCGACCCCACCTGCCCCGACCCCATCTGAGAGGCCTCTAAGCAAAGCACCCCCTTCCAAGACGTTCCCCTCGCCTCGCCCCAAGACGCACGTGTGCGGCCGGAGAGAGGCCTGGAGCGCGCGGGGGACGTCGCGGAGGGTGCTCGTCACGGAAGGGGTCGGCCAGGCCGCGCCCGGGTCGCGCGCGCGTGCTCTCCTCGTGCGTGGAGCACGGGCGGAGCCTCCGAGGAGAGTTGTGCCCTCCTCGGGCGTCCTCCTCCTCCTCCTCCTCCCTCCTCCTCCTCCTCCTCCTCCTCCTCCTCCTCCTCCTCCTCCTCCTCCTCCTCCTCCTCTTCCTCCTCCTCCTCCTCCTCCTCCTCCTCCTCCTCCCTCCTCCTCGTCGAGACCAGCGCGGAGGGCGCCTCGGCCCACGACCGCCCGCCCCGCGGGGCTCCGATGGGGGGGGCCCGGCGGCCCGCCCGCCCCGCGTCCTCTGCCATCGGCCCTGATCGGGCAAGCTCAGGGACGGGGCAGGTCGCTCCAGAGCGTTCCAGAAAGCCCTCGGGGAGAAGCGGAACGCGCTGAGGAAGCCGCAGCGCCCGATCCATCGCTCGGAACCGCCGGATCCCACAGATTCCCGAGCTGTTCCGATCAGTCTTTGTCCCGACCCTGCCCTCGCTTCTCCCGACCGTGCGCGCCTTCGTGGCTGAGGGTGGCGTACTCACGCTGGTACCCACGTACTGGGGGTCAGCGCTAACGTGAAGTCGGGCCTGTCCCCCTACAGGCCGATTTTGGACGGAAAACAAAGCATACCCACAATCTTCAAAAATTGTTATAAAAAAATAATCCCCATATTATGTTTGACTATTTTTGGATCTTCCCCCCGCAGAGGGGCAGGCCCGACTGAACGCTGACGGGGGTCAGCCAAGCCCCTCTGGCTGACCCGGGTTTGAGGGCCACGCGGGGCCGACTCTCCCTTCCCGCCCCCTGACCAAAGGTTTGGGAGCTACATTTTTCAGGAGGGGACAAACACACAGACACAATTAATCCTCGATTCCCCAAAAATATATAGGAAAATATGGGAAGTGGGGGGAGAGACAGAAACCCAGAAAATATGGGAAAATATGGGGAATATTTTTATGTGTGTGTATTTATTTGTGTGTCCTGGGGCCCCTTCATTTTTGTCATCTGCAGGGCGAGAGCGAACCTCTTCCGCTGAAAGCTGAGCGGGACGCGCACAGCTTTCATTAGCAGAGAAAGAGCGGAAGAAGGCGGGGCCTCACGCGGCCGGGAGAGGGCGAAGCCCAGGGATCAGGCGGTGCCGAAGTGGACGTGCAGGAGAAGGTACACTTTGGACAGTCAGCCCGCACAGCAAAGATGGGCAACCTTCCCGAGGGTACCCTTGCATCCTTCTGACTGGTCCACCACGGGGGGGCATCATATTAAGGATTTGCAGCGTCGCTAACATCATCATCCTCACGGTCGTTAGCATCATCACCGTCATCACGCAACCAACAGTTGTCATCATCGTCGTCACCATCATCATGATCACCATCGCCATCATCGTCGTCACCATCATTGTCCTCATCATCATCATCGTCATCATCATCATCATCGCCATCATCATCATCATCCACAGTGGTTTCGGCTCTCGGACGCGAGTAGCTCGCTTTTGCTTTTCGCGTTCCCTCCCAACCACCAGCAGCCGCCATGGGCAAGAGGGCAGGTGATGCGGGGATCCCGTCGCCTGCGAAGAAGGCGGCGGCCGCGGCGGCCTCACCAGCCGCTGCCTTTGGCGCGCCGCCCGCCGCTGCCTCTGGCGCGCCGCCCGCCGCTGCCTCTGGCGCGCCGCCGGCCCTGTGCATCGCGCAGCTCCTCGAGACGGACCACGCGTCGATGCAGCAGGGTCACGTCAAGGAGTGGGTGCGCCAAGTGAAGCACCGCGTCGACCATAGTTTGCTCAGCCTCCTGGGGCAGCGCAAGCGCGAGGTGTCCTTCGCGGTGCCCGCCAAGTGTTCTTTGATTCCGCCGTTGGCCATCACTGATGCTGCCTCTGGCGCAAACCTCAGTTCGTTTCGCGAGGTCATGGACTACGACAACTTGGTTGCGAGCTTCTCCCGCACCAAGGAGTACGAGGCAGCGGGGACGGCGTGGATGTTGGACCCGATTTGCTCGGACATCGACGACGTCACCGTGAGCCAGCTCGTGGGTGCCATGGGCGCGTGGTCGGAGGAGGCGTACTCCTTCTCCTCCAAGCACGCGCCCTCGCGGCGCCTCTCCTTCGACGCGCCTATCCCCGCCTTGGTGGTCGACGTCAAGGTCGCCCAGCGGTTTGAGCCTAACAAGCCTGGAGTTTGCTTGGCAGAGGCTCTGGCCATGCTCGCGTGGCGCGCGGCGGTCACCACGCGGCGCGCTGCTATGAGCGAGGCGCTCCAGCAGTCCAACGAAGACCGCGCGTGGCCTCAGTTCAATGCCGCGTTGTCCGTGCCCATCAGGATGCTTTTTGCTGCCTGATGGCGACGCGACCCGCTTGGCCGCTCTGGCATTTTCAGAGCAGATGTTCTCTGCGCATGCCGCCTCTGGCGCCGAGGCCGCCTGGCGGCTCGCAGAACAAACGCGCCGCTTGACCAGCGCGGAGAACTGTCTCGCCAAACAGGAACCAGTGTCGAAGCTGGAGGCTGCGCTGAAGGCCCACGGCCTCTAGTTCAAAGGAAAAGCGCGCGCCGCTGCAACCGCCGCGGCGCTGAAAGGTCTGCGCCCTTTCGTCCTCGACGGTGCCTGCAGTTCGGCTTTCGCGCTGGCCGAAGTGTATTTTCCAGAGCTTCGCGACCCTGCGCTTCTCATGGGGATCGGCTTCGCCTGCTCCGCGAGGGGCGGTTCTGACGCCGAGGCCAGGGAATTGCTCGTTTTCATCATGGACAGTTTCCGCGTGGCCCGCTTGACGGGCGACGCCCCGAAGGGCGAGGAACTGGTCGTGCGCCGGGTCGTCGGGCGCGATAGGAAGACGCCAGGGGCGCCCCGCGCGCTCTTCAAGAAAAAGGAGCTCGTCGAGCACATCTTCCACGAGGCGTTTCTCATGAACAAGGAAGTGGGGAACGACATGGCGGCATTTAAGACGCCTCTCCACGCCCCCCAGAAGTTCGCTGCCTCTGGCGCGGATGGGCCCGCGGCTTCGCGCCGCGCGTCCGACTCAGGCGGCGGCGCCGACGGGATGGAGACATTGTTTGCGCCCCCCGTGGCTGAGCATCGGAATCAAGACGACGGCGATGATCGACGTCGCGCGGCCTCTGTGGTCGAGCGCTTTCGACGACGAAATTGCCGAGCTTGCCCGGCAGGAGTTGCAGAACAGCACCACTGGGTCCGTCTGGCAAGCGCACCTCGCCGAGACCAGCCAGGGCGCCAGCGCCAAGTGCCGCGCCATCGTGGCCGCGCGCACGGGCGGGCCCATCACCACCGACCCCGATCTGGATGCAAATCTCGGCTTGTTGGGGATGTCCGAGCTCGGGGACGAGCAAGAGGCAGAGCTCCAGAAGTTCCAGGAGCAGCTCAAGCAGCTCCGCAGGAAAACTGTGAAGTTCGCCAGTTTGCCGTCTGTCGGCGGTGCCTCTGGCGCGGAGTACGCAGTGGCGCAGATGCAGGGCTTGTGGGGTGCGCTCAGCGGGCGCCGCTTCGGGAAGAAGAACGACGTTCGCGCGTTCATCCTCGCAGCGGACACGTTCCCGCCCAACGTCGTCAAGCAAGGCGCCAAGGCGAGGGTGAACGAGCAGATGGCGCGTGGCGAGGCGAAGTTCAAGCGCGTCATCGAGTTCTTCTTGCAGAAGAGGCAGACGGATGGTGTCTTCATCTTCCTCGACGGCAGGAGCCGCGCGAACCGAAGGGTAATTGAGTCCTTCGATGCGAAGTTGGAGTCGGGAGGCGCCCGCGCGCACGTCGAGCGCTGGTTCGTGCACGAGCAACCGGCGAAGAAGGTGGACCCGCGGTCCGCGGCCAGGGCGTCGAGCTACACGAAGAACAACAGGGGTGCAGCTTTTTTCTCGATGCCACTCAAGGGCCCGCCGCGGAAAGTGCTGCACCGTGCGGAGTTCAACGCGCGCGGCGAGTCCTCGACCGCAGACACGTCATACAGCGGTATCCCAATGCGGCGCTTCTCCGAGCTCCCTCGCGTGGACCACGAGACGAAGATGAGCATCTTGGGAGCTGCATCTCGCGCTGGCGTTGACGGGGGGCAACCGCGCCTGCAGGGGGGCGTCGACTCGACGGGCCACCCGTTCTCGCACGCCGAGGTGAAGTCGCTCAGCTTGTGGCAGACTCTCGTGGAGCACCACAAAGTGACCCGCGTCGTGGACTTCACTCCAGGTTCTGGCGCTTTGGCTGTTGCTGCCTCTGGCGCTATTGAGTGCGAAGGCATCGCTGCCAACGATGCGCACCGGGACTGGCTCGATGCCATCGTGGACAGGTGCGCGATGCACAAGGCGGGCCACGAGGAGGAGGAGGGGCACGCGGAGCAATTGGGCGGCGACGCCGAGTTCGTCGAGAAAGCCAGCAAGTATTTCAGCGGAGCCATGATGGAGGCGAACCGTCTGTTGATGCCAGTGGCCGGGGACGGCGAGGATGAGGAGGGGGAGGGGGATGGCGCGAGCTCGGACGACGAGTAGGTGGGCATTTGACACACTGCCTCTGGCGTGCCACGACGCTGCCTCCGGCGCGCCCGTAGCCGCGTGAGAGGTCGCTCGAGCATTCGTTTCCGAGAGGGGCCCTGTGGCATCGGTTCTGAGGATGAGTTCTGCGGTGGCGCGCGACAGTGATGTAGGCCCCACGGCTGTCGGCGGCGTGGGCCCTTCTGAGGCGCGAATGCTGCGGCTGCGCTCGGCTCGGACATATCGCACCCGCCGCTGCCATCGCCGCAGGTCGCGGCGGTCGCGATTTCTCCGTCGTCATCGCCATCGGCGCAATCATGCTATTTGTGGTTATGTTCCGTCATGTTCTCATGGCATTGGTTACCATATCCCACGTCTCCTGTTCAGTTTTCCTATGGTCGCGCTTAGTTTTCTCATGGTCGGGTTTAGTTTTCCCTTGGTCGGGTCTAGTCTGTTCTTTGGTCGGGTCTACTTGTTTTTTTTCCCTGGTCGGGTCTAGTTTTCCCCTGGTCGGGTCTGGTTGTTCCTTTGGTCGGGTCTAGTCTTTCTCTGGTCGGGTTTAGTTTTTCTTTGGTCGGGTCTAGTTTTCTTTTGGTCGGGTCTACTCTTCCTTTGGTCGGGTCTAGTTTCCCTGGTCGGGTCTAATTTTTCCGATGGTCGGGTCTAGTTTTTCTTTGGTCGGGTTTAGTTTTCCTTTGGTCGGGTCTAGTTGTTCCTCTGGTCGGGCCTGGTCTTTCCCCTGGTCGGGTCTAGTGTTCCCCTGGTCGGGTCTGGTTGTTCCTTTGGTCGGGTCGAGTTTGTCATTTGGTCGGGTCTAGTTTTTCCTTGGTCGGGTTTAGTTTTTCCTCGGCCGGCTTTAGTTGTCCCTTGGTCGGGTTTAGTTTTCCCATGGTCGGGTTTACTTTTTCCCTGGCCGGGTCTAGTTTTCCTTTGGTCGGGATGAGTTTTCCTTTGGTCGTGGCTAGTTTTTTTCTTTGGTCGGGTTTAGTTTTTCTTCGGTCGGGTCTAGTTTTTCATTGGTCGGGGTTAGTTGTCCTCTGGTCGGGTTTAAATCTTCTGTTGGTCGGGTCTAGTTCTCCTCTGGTCGGGTTTAGTTTTTCCCCGGCCAGGTCTACTTTTCCCTTGGTCGGGTTTAGTTTGTTCTTGGTCGGGTCTAGTTTTTTTCTTTGGTCGTTTATTATGATTAGTATTTTTATCATGGTCGGTTTAGTTGTTTCCCTGGTCGGGTCTAGTTTTCCCTTGGTCGGGTTTAGTGTTTTCTTGGTCGGGTCTAGTTTGTCCCTGGTCGGATGTAGTTGTTCCTATGGTCGGGTTTAATTTTTCCCTGATCGGGTTTAGTTTGGTGTTTGGTCGGGTCTAGTTTTGCCCTGGTCGGGGTTTAGTTCTCCCTTGGTCGGGCATAGTTTTCTCCTGGCTGCGTTTAATTCTCCCCTGGTCGCGTTTAGTTTTCCTGTGGTCGCGTTGAGTTTTCCCTTGGTGTGTTTAGTTCCCTCAGGTCGCGTTTAGTTTTCTCCGCGGTCGCGTTTAGTTTTCCCTGGTCGCGTTTAGTTGTTCCTTGGTCGCGTTGTTTTGTTTATCTGGTCGTGTTTCGTGTTCCTTTGGTTGTGTGTAGTTTTCTCCTGGTCGCGTCTAGTTGTTCCTTGGTGCTTTTTTTTTTGGGGGGGGGGGGAAGAGTGCGCCGCCGCTCCAGGTCGCCACCTGGGCCGTCGTCGTCGTCGTCGCCCCTTTCGGCGTCGCCGCCCACCCCCTCCTCTGCCCCCCCCCCCCTCGCGACCAGGGAACAACTAAACGCGACCAGGAGAAAACTAAACGCGACCAGGGGAAAACTAAACGCGACCAGGGTCGTGCTTAGTTTTCTCTTTGTCGTCGTCGTCATAAGCATCGACGTCATTGGCATCGGGATGAACCACCTTAAAGAGAAGTCATAAGAAACCAGATCACCCCGAACATCCATTAGGACCTCGCCACAGCTTTCCGTCACATTTCGGTTCGAGCCCGCTGCTGCTCAGCGCTCCTTGCTTTGCCACTAGCGCACTCATTTCGCCTTATTCCGCCGCGCGCGAAGTCGCTGCCTCTGGCGCGTCGCGCGTTGCGCGGGCCCCATGGCGGCGCAATGGCCGAACTTCGAGACCGCGCGCGTCGAAGCGGTCGTAGCGCACCTGCTGGAGCAACGCGTCAGCGACAAGAAGATCACTTGGCGCACCGTGCTGAATAACCATGCCTCGACGCGCCCTCAAGTGCGCGGAGGCGCTTTGGTCCCAGCCGTCAGCAAGTGCAAGGAATGCGCTGCCTCTTGCGCGGGCTGGCGGCGCACCCTGACTTTGCCGAACAGCTTTGCGCCAGGAGATGGCCGTCGGCTCGTTGCGATAGGGGAAAGCGCGACGAAAGAGGGGGCGTCGGAACTCGCTTGCCTCCGAGCCATCGCTTCGCCCGTCAGCGAAAACCCAGGCCAGTTTGTGCTCCGACCGAAGCACTGGAAGGCGCCGCCCGACGAGCTCGTGGCCAATATGCCCGGCGCCGCCGCTGACCCCGCTTCTGGCGGGCGCGCGCTGCCAGCGCGCACCCCTGCGCGCCCCCAGGGCGCGGGCTCGGAAGCTAACGCGCCTGACGCTGACGCGCGCTTGGTTGAACTAGTCCGCGACGCTCTCAAAACGCACGGCGGTGAGTTCGATCCGTCGCGGATTTCCCGCGACAAGTTGTAGTGGCGCGACGAGCGCGCGTTCGAGACGTTCAACAAGCTTTTGGCGCCTGGGGGGCTGAAGGACTTTCTCGACAGACACTCCGACGAATTCGCTTGGCGCGAGAAGGCCGACAATAAAGGCATGCCCATCACGTGGGCGAACTGGGCGCGGCAGGAGGGGCGCGCCCCGCCATGGGCGCGCCCCGCCATGGGCGAAGTGGACGTAGGCACTGCCTCTGGCGTGCCCCGCCGTGGCGAGCGCGCCCCAACACGAAGCGGTCTTAGGGAGCTGCCTGAAGCGGCCGAAGGGTGCCCGCCAACTGACCGCCCTCAGGAAGCGGCCTCAGGAAGCGGCCAGAATGCACTGCCTCTGGCGTGCCCCGACACATCACCGCCCTCAGGAAGCGGGCAGAACAATAGCAACCCTTGGGAAGACCTTCGCTAGGAGATGGTTGCCCGAGACGCTGCCTCTGGCGTGGCCGACTCGCTGCCTCTGGCGCGCCCGTGACGCTGCCTCTGGCGCGCCTTCTGAGGCCAAGGCGGCGTCGCGGCAGCTGGCTCCGCGACGCTTGCGGGCCGAACAACTAGGCATCGTCATCACCGTCATCGTAGTCGCCATCATGACCACCGACATCATCAGCGCAGTCAGCGACGCCATGACCACCGACATCGTGACCAGGGAAAGAATAGACCCGACCAAAGGAAAAACTAGACCCGACCAGGGCAAAACTAGACCCGACCAGCGGAAAAATAAGCCCGACCAGCGGAAAAACTAGACCCGAGCTGAGGAAAAATAGATCCGACCAGGGAAAAACTAGACCCGACCACAGGGAAAAGTAGACCCGACCAGAAAAAAAAACTATACCCGACCAGGGGAAACCTAGACCCCGACCATAGGAAAATTAGATCCGACCAGGGAAAAACAAGACCCGACCAGGGGAAACATAGACCCGACCATAGGACAACTAGATCCGACCAGGGAAAAACTAGACCCGAGCAGAGGAAAACTAGATCCGACCAAACAAAAACTAGGCCCGACCACAGGGGAAACTAGACCCGGCCAGGAAACAAATTGACCCGAGCAAAGGAAAACTAGACCCGACCAAAGGAAAACTAGATCCGACCACAGGGAACACTAGACCCGAGCAAGGAAGACATAAACTTGAGCAGAGGAAAAGTAGATCCGACCATGGAAAAACTAAACCCGACCAGAGGAAAATTAGATCCGACCAGGGAACAACTAGACCCGACCACACGGAAAACTAGACCCGACCAGGGGAAAAACTAGACCCGACCACAGGGAAAACGAGACCCGACCAAGGGAAAAACTAGACCCGGCCACAGGGAAAACGAGACCCGACCAGAGGAAAAGTATATCCGACCGGGGAAGAACGAGACCCAACCAGAGGAACAATTTACCCGACGAGAGGAAAACTAGATCCGACCAGGGAAAAACTAGGCCCGACCACAGGGAAAACTAAACCCGACCAGGGGAAAAACTAGACCCGACCAGGTGAAAAACTAGACCCGACCAGAGGAAAACTAGATCCGACCAGGGAACAACTAGACCCGACCACACGGAAAACTAAATCAGACCAGGGAAAAACTAGGCCCGACCACCGGGAAAACTAGACCCGACCAGGGGAAAAACTAGACCCCACCAGGGGAAAACTAGACCCGACCAAAGGAAAACTAGATCCGACCAGGGAACAACTAGACCCGACCAGGGGAAACATAGACCCGACCAGAGGAAAACTATATCCGACCAGGGACAAAAACTAAACCCGACCAGAGGAAAACTAGATCCGACCACAGGGAAAAACTAGGCCCGACCACAGGGAAAACTAGACCCGACCAGGTGAAAAACTAGACCCGACCAGGAGAAAAACTAGACCCGACCAGAGGAAAGCTAGATCCGACCATAGGAAAAACGAGACCCGACCAGGGGGGAACTAGACCCGACCACAGGGAAAACTGGACCCGACCAGGGGAACAACTAGACCTGACCAAAGGAAACAACTAAACCCGACCAGAGGAAAACTAGATCCGACAATGGACAAACGATGCCCAACCACAAGGAAAACTAGACCCGACCATGGGAAAGCTTAGACCCGACGAGGACAAAACTAGACCCGAGCAGAGGGAAAGTAGACCCGACCAGGGAAAAACTAGACCCGACCAGGGGAAAAATAGATCCGTCCAGAGGAAAGCTAGATCCGACCAAAGGAAAACTAAACACGAACAGAGGAAAACTAGATCCGACCAGGGAAAAACTAGACCCGACCAGAGGAAAACTAGATCCGACCAGGGGAAAGACTAGGCCCGACCAGAGGAAAAC